CATTGCTCTTCCGCCACGTTAGGTTCCACAACCTGACTGACGAGGCGGTTGAGCAGGATTCGGACAATCACCTTGCCCACACAACTCGGCAACTTGATACCACGATAATTCGTGCTACGTTGCTTGCTCCCTTTGCCATTGTACAGTGGTAGCACAAGGGCATCCTTCAGTTGAAGAGGCACCTCCTCCTCAATCCATACGCGTTGCACTAAGTGGTGCAGCGCAGTCACCAACGCGAGTCCGCCGTGTTTCAATACTTCAGGTGAGATCCTGTCGGCCCCAGCATACTTGCCGTTTCGCAACTGAGCAAGTACTCTCTGCGTCTCATCAAGTGTCGGCGTGTCCGCCAGACTCGCCTTCACATCGTTCTGCTTTAGGCCGTTCAAAGTAGGCCAGTCGATTTCCGAACAATTGTTCAGGAGACAGTCAAAGTGTTTCCGCCAGATCTGCATTATGTCTGCAGTCTGTGTGCAGGTATCGCCTGAGCTACCATTGATCAGCGTCCTCAGCGGCTCCAACCTCGGTCCATACAGCGACTTCAATGAGTCAAAGAATTCATTGTGTTAGCGGCGTTCGGCGTAGCATTCCATCTGCCTCGCCTTCTCCGTCCACCATGCATTCGTAATGTGACGGAGCTCGCGAGTCGGTCACCATCAAATTCGCCCAGATTTTCTCTTCTTCCCCACGTTGCTGGGATCTGCCACATGTGCAGCAAATGTTACCTTCTTCTCCGTCACCAATGCGCCAATCGTCGTATTGTTCTCATCAAAGCAGTCATGCTGCTTACAGTTTGCGCGCCCGATGGTCTCCTCGGCAGCAGCTGTCACCTGGTCGCGAATGTGGTGTCACAGGTCGCCCACTGTGGCTATGCATTCCACATCACACTGGCGTGCAGCCAGCGCCTTCTCCAGCTAGATACGTTTCGCTGCGGTACCGAGGGAGAGAATGTTAAATTTAGTTTGATTCACGGCGGGAGTGCAATACATAGACTAACGAAAATATATATACAGTTTGGTCCGCACCAATTCGTGTTCAGTGCCACACTCAGCTCCACGCAGTACACGTGTCATGTGGACTTCACGTATATCACGCTGACGTACGATGACATAGTCGAGCAGGTGAGTGTGACTACTCCGTGGGTGCGTTCAAGTTGCTACGTCACTCGCACTCAGTGCAAACAGAGTGTTCGTGATCGTCAGGCCGTGAGTGGCACACAGTGAGAGCAGCCTGTCCCCGTTCACATTCACTGAACCAATGCCATGCGGACCGATACCATCTGTCCACACCGATGCATCACGCCCAACACGCGCGTTGAAATGACCCAGCAGAAATAGTCGGTCGCTCCTTGGCTTAGACCGTATCACGGAGGATAGCTGAGTATGGAATTGATAACGCGTGTCATCAGGATAACGCATGGTCGGACGGTACATGCTTGTAAAAGTGGCGAATTTACCTCTTCCAAGTTGTAAGGGAACTGTCATCAGTCGCGCGCTGATGTCTGTTAGTTTACCCACGAGCTGGCTATGGAGGCGATCGGATATTGCGAATCCGACCCCATGATCACGTGGTGCTGAGGCGGCGTTGCCCACCCAGTAGAATGTGTAGCCAGCACCTACTTCATGCAACTTATCTTGCTGAGCGATCTGTGTTTCACTTACTGCCGCAATATCGATGTGGTAGTGCTTCAGTTCCATCACGACGAGTGCAGTGCATCGTTCGGGGCGCCCACTCGAGTTCCGGTTCAGTAGTGTGCGCGCTCGTTCAAGCATCTGATGCTGAGTGGTTTGCGCGTAGGCATACGATTGCATTGGTGGTCAATCGCACGCAAGGTGGCGGTTATGCTTCGGTGTTTGCTTTGGGGGACTTTACCCGGAGCGTTTGGCTCAAAAGCCTGACCCACGAGGCAGTGGTTGATTTGGAGGTTTGCTTGAGGGACTACGCCCAGGGCGTTTGGCTCAATAGCCTGACCCACAAGGCAGTGGGGAGCCGATCCAGCTCGAGAAGGTTATTGCATAGACAGATTGGAGTCTGCTTGTCGGCCGTCAGACGCATCGTTTGAGGTACTGGAACTATTTGTATATGTTTGGGACCGTAGTAGGATACACCTGCGACCACGATCAGACGCAGTTGGGTTTTGGGGGGTTTGCATCCATTTGACCAGGGGCTGCCTGGCTTGAGGCGAGCAGTAGCGAACCATTGAACACCCGGAGGTGCTCTGCCACCGTCAGAGACAATGCATGGCGCCCGTACTGTACGCCAATGGAGCTGTCCGCTTAAAACTCGTAGACCTGTTGTCTCCTATGATTAGTTTTTGATGGGAAGAAGGCCATCCACCACTTCCTAACCTCCGAAGAGGATGGACTAGGGATTCTGGCAGGGCGCCCACACCTGACAGGAGAACGACTCAGGTCTTCAGACACAGCCTTCCGTTAAATGAACACCGAAAATCTGCGGGTCTATCACATGATCAGTTCACTGACTCGTGCGGATTGATGTCCTGGATCTTAGCAGGGAGAAAGGCCGTAAAATGTCTGCCATCCGTACATCTGCGTCCACTGTTATGCCAGGCATCTGTTTTTCTACATTTTGATCACGTTATGTTTACCTGAGATTGTCATGCCTGTAGAGGTAGGCCATGCAATGTGAAGAATGAAACTTTTTTATATCAGATGTACTGTTCTTAGCACTTTCTTAATTATGTGGTTTCTGGGTTCAGCTGTTCAACGAGCTTCGCTATTGGTATGCAAACGTTTCATCACCACACGAAGTGACTTCCTGAGTGCGCTGTTGGGTCAAACTTAATCCGCTGGATTGGTCGTCGATTTGTGATTGATTATCAACTGACTTTTGAAATGACTTACTCAATCTGTGCCCAACTTCTCTGATAGACATGGGCGTTCCATGGGGTGGTTTCTTCCCGGTTGTTGCGGTAGTGTTGTTTACGGCTGCTTTAGCTGCTCACGACGATTTTTAAGTTGTTTTAATTCTCTCCGTATTAGCGTTTCGTAAATGGGATCAATCTGGACGTGCATGTTTATCGAGGCTTCCGTCGAATACCATGCTTTGAGGAACTCACTTCTTTTTCATGTCTCTTCTTGTGCTAGGACCTCTGCGTTGTTCCAATCGAAGCGATGTCCTTCTTCATCTGTATGTATTGAAACCAATGAGAGAGCCTATTGGTTCTTACAAGCTCTCTTATGATCTTGTATTTTTGCAGACAGTCGTCTTCTGTCTGACCCACATATTTATTATCGCAATCTTGACACCTTATCTGATAAACAACCTTTCGTCTTTCGTATGCTTCAGGTCTAACTTTGATGTTTTATGTACACATCGGCCTCCTTGGGATGCGGAGTGACTCCTACGGTGTTTTGGCCACTATATGCAGCACAGTTGTTTACCTCTGTGACTTCTAGTGTTCTTCATTACTAGTGAGACACGTTTTCTCAGTCCCGCTTCAGTGTTTTTCATTATGGTCGTCATTGCGCATATCGAGACAGGCACTTACTTTTCGCTGTGGGGCTCTACCTTGCATAATTTACCATCATGGGATCTGCGTCCGTTATTGTGGTTTTTCCAGGGAGTTTTTCACGTAACCCGAGTACCATCAACATTTATCAGCTCAATATAATCTCTATCTTTCCCGCAGGGCGATTTCTTAACGCTTTCTTTAGTAGCTTTCTATTATCTTGGTACACTGCTTTTCACAGGATGATTTCCCTTATTCTGCACGGTGACTGTGGTTCCGTGACAGCATTTTATCGGCACCGTAACAGTCGGGTGCATGGTGTTTTCGCCAGCCTAGCTCACCTGTTGAATTTCGCGGAATTGTGCTTCGAACATGTGTTCACAATCGCCTTTTGGAATCAATGCGTTTGCATGTATCGATATCGATATGGAATTTGCTTGGCGAGCGACTCTATTGTCTCTAGGGGTTCGACGACATACAATGGATACTCTTGGCTGGTACCGCGGTCCCGATAGTTGTTAGCCCAAAGCTGAGGTCAATCATAGGTTCGCTGTTCGATATCGTCGATCTCATCTCCGCTGCTTTGCTTGTTGTGCTCAAGTGATTATACGCTATGGGGAAGATGCTTTAAACAGCACCTGTTTATCTTGACCGGTGCCTTTTCAACCCATAATACTGCGAATATATGCGTGCAACACAAACATAGATTGGCCTCACACGGCCCTTTTCAGCGGGTCCGTTATTTTGTCTGTTGATTACTTTTGAACGGTTTGCGATTCGTTTTTCTCATCCAATTTGAGTCAGACTTACCATTGCATTACCTCGTCAACTGTTTATTTGTAATTGTAAGTCGGCCAGTGCTTGGGTGGTCTGTGCACCTAGTTTGCAACCATAAGGTCCACGGTTCGAATCCGCGTAGGGGTGGGCGTCCCCGCGGTATACACAGCCCTCGCGCGACTAATGGTGGTCGCGCGGCAGCGAAGCGCCGTTACGGCGTACAGCTGGCACATTATTTTTATTCTTTATTATTTTCTTGTTAATTGTAAGTGTGTACTAAAAATTTCCGGGAGAGCATTTCCTTGAAAGTTTGCTTTTCTGAATGCACCATATCTTGCGGGTCACTGAGCTCTACCATTTTCACTGATTTAACGAAGATATGGTTAGAGCGCCATCTAGCCTGTATTTCATCATTCCGACTACTATTGCGGAACCATCACGTATCAGTGACACCCAGTACTTCCACGCTGTTTCTGCATCGTTCAGTGGCAGTTTTCCCCCAATTATCATCGCTTCCTAAAGTACTTTGTTCTCCTTGCTTTTTTGTAGCAATTTGATCACGAAGCCCGGTGCATTTTCATGCGCACAGTGTTTTTCTACCTTTGCAGTTGTGGTGTGCCGATGCCGACTGTGCTTCGTCTCCCATCGATTTGTTTCTGACCATCCCACTGGCATTTCGCTTAACGCATGCAATGTGTTTGCTTTCTCGGTTGTTGTCTTAATGTTCCACTTCAATTCTCCTTTTTCTTTTTAGGAACTGCTTGAACAACAGCGTGTTCCGGTCTCCACAAGCGCTGATGGTGTCAATACGTTTAGCGCAGGACAAACACAGCCTGGTGAGGGTTTATTTAGCTTGGTTGACACCTCACTTTCTGCTGCACCTGCTCACGTACCAGACCCGTGGTCTTCGCCATTAGCCGACTCGTTGACCACTTTGGGCGCCACCTCCACGTCTCCTTCGGTCATACCGATTGATGATCCATGGACCAATGGTGCGTTCGGGTTTCCCGTTATTTTTATCATTTCTACCGATAGCCCCTCACGCATATCACACATACAATGAGCTCTGTGGTGTTTTCCGTACTTTCGTTTTCAGGAGCAGTCGGTTCACCGAGCAAGCCAGCTGTGTCGCCACCGATATCTACCTCGGCTTGGGGCTTGAACCCTGGTTCCGTTCCATTGACCCCGAAGTCAGCGGTTGACCTTGCTAGCAACGGCGCTCACTCATCCCCCAACGAGGCTAACGGCACCGCCGACAACGACTCTAACAAGGATGGTGGCACCCCAAACCGACGGCACACTCCCGCTGATTTTTTGGGTGAACACCAACGACTTGTCGATTTAGAGAAACTGGTGGAGAAAAACCCAGGTGCGTGCAGGTGTCATTCTGTATACAATGCCCATTCATTATTTAACCTCTTGCTTCAATACAGCGCTGTCTAATCATTTCAGTTGTGGTGCGATCTGCGAAACAACACAGACTCGGCTCCCGCGACAGCTATCACTATTCTCTGGAAACGAAAATTGACCTACCTTGGTTGAAAAAACCAAAGGGATAAACCACATAGTTATGAGCGAATGTTAGGCCATTGGCCGAAACGATGAGACGTCTACCTTCCAATCCAAAAGTCACCCGTTCGAATCTGCGTAGGTGCGGACGACCGCACTGTATCCCAAAATCGCGCGCGACTTGAGATCGCTGCGTCGTAACAAGGCGCTGGTACAACGCACTTCTGATGCCCGCGATAAGAACAAAGTAATAATTGTGCTTATCAGCCAGAACGGTTAAAAACAAATCAGGTAGCCAAATGTGAGAGTTCCACAGAGGGTTTCTCGGATAAACTCTTTAACAAATGTTGCGATACATTCCTGAGACCCCACACGAATGGTTGATGAGCACCAGCGAAGTCAAGCTTTATGGTCAGTCTCTTTTTGCTCCTTGTCATGTTATCGCTTGGTCACCCTGCATTTCCATCTAACTTGGTTTAGTACTGTCAGACATCTCACTGCGATGATGCGGCTGTTCGGTGTACGCAGACAGCTTGGCAGGCGTAGGCGATGCAAATTCAAGGGATAATCCGTCAGATTTTGTTGCCCAGTGATGACGCACTGACCTCAGCTGTGTGTCTTTTTGAAGCCACCACGTTGAACCGCTCTCGTATTCACTAGAGATCATAACCTACCAGCCTCTTGTTATCTTCAGAGTGGTGATGTGTTCGACCTATACAATAACCAGCTGCATCACAGCCATAAATATCCACTTGCCTGGCATTATTAGCCCTGAAGTCACTTGCAAAGTGTCATTCTGCGCTGAACATTGGATCACACTAGCGCTGTTCCACTAAGCTAAGACCAGGTGTTGCGACGAAGACGGCGACGCGTTAAAATGAAACTTTCGCTTTCCCATCTTCCTGTCATTTGCTTCCGACAACTGATTGCTTATTTTTTTCTTTTCGGTGGCTATCATACCTCCATTGAGACCAGATTGGACCTTTACCTGTTCTGATGCTTTGCATGCCCTCGTACCCCAGTGTGCTACGCTGAGCGGCACTTTCCGAGTGCCTTCAGTGCCACTCAAACAGGTCAGTAGTTAGCCAGTATCACAATCCTCCTCAGGGTTAATGTGGTGTCGATGGCCCTCTTCCCTTAAAACTTAGCTATGGGGGCTAATAGATTTCATGGTTATAAGCTCAATTCTGGATTGGCGTAGAGCACGAGCGCCACCCGTTTTCCCTGACATTGGGAGGTCACCGCTCGATGGTCAGTCTTTCGCTACCGCCCGCCACAAATCAGACAGCCCCTGTGCTATTCCGTCAACTCCTATCCGCGACTGGCCGTGGTCACATGTACATAACACACTACGATCATAAAACACATGTGGATTGTTCTAAATCTTCAAAGCCTATATGTTATAGGTGTCTAGCATTCTCACATTGGGTATTCACAATCACACTCCTGAGCTGTATTTGCTTCCCACTGCAATGTGGGCCAGGCTATTGTGACAAAGACTCGAGTGGATTCCCTCAAGCGAGCTTTCATGTACCCCGCTGCCTTGTGGTTCAAACTCTTGAGTCAAAGGCCAGGCGTATAATACATCGAACACAACCCCTCTTTCGGAACGGTCAACCGAAGAGTATTGTCTGCCTTCTCGATTCCGTCTATAATACTCCTTATGGTTTTTCAATTCCCTCTTCTTCTTCTTCGTCGTCCATTGAGCAAAACTGCCGCTGACCACGTAGTTGATATCTTTTAACTTGTCTTTCATCCATGGGCCTCGTTTCACATTGATTCAGTTAGCGTCCGCACTTTGAGTCAGATTATCCAACATACAGCACTAACTCTCACTCTTCACTCTCTTAGTAATCATGTGTGTTGTGTCTCCGAAACACACAAGCAAGATAGTAACGTCATAGTTAATCTTCGAATCCCTTGCTCCGAATTTACAGACAATCACTACATTCTTCGCATCTCTGGCGATACTGAGTATTTAAGTACTAAGCGACCCTTCACCGCCCTAAACAAACATACTAAAGGCCAGCTACTCGACTGGATGCCGTTGGACAGCCGCAGTGTTCGATTCGATTTCGAACCTCTATTGGGAGTTAATAATCGTCTTATGATGACAGAGAGCCTTTACATCGTCTCCTTGTATGTCCCTGCTGTTAAGAGGATATCAAAAACGATTTATATCATCCTCTTTTCTCCGTATGGTGAAGACTACTGACCTCGTGATTGTTGTTGGTGCTGTGAATGCCTAAGGGCGTTTGGGATCCGATGCACGCCAAACAGACAACAGCGATCGACTCCTGCAGCTACGTGCTGACCACCATCTTCATATTGACAGCACTGCTTTTTAGCACAAACGTTCACATTGCATCATTTGGTGCCCACCTAATTCCTCGAAGCCTTGGATCTAAATTGACCATATTGCTATCAGTCACAGATGACACACACCGATTCAAGACTATGGGTCAGTTTGGAGTACGTACCTAGATTCCGGCCATATCCTAATGCACGGACGTCTGAAGCTCTCTTTTGCCGTTTCAAAGAAGCGCCTAATTTTCTCACTTGTAACTTGAACTCGCCGTCCGTAGTTTAACGATATCGTGACAAGTCGGCCTACGAGCTGTCAGTGGCTAATGAGATTGGTGATCCGAACGTTGATTGGGATCTTCTTAAGTGTGTCATGATGAGTACGTTTGACATCTGCTGTGCACTCTGCTGAGAATGAATCTGGGGCTTTGATCTCTTTGCTCGATGCACGGGAACGGGTTCCGATAGTCACTGAGTTTCACCTTGTCCGTAACTGTCTGAAACGATGACTGACATTGAGTCTTCGAATTGGTGATTGACAAGGGCCCGTAAATGGAAAACGCCAGTGCTATTGGAAACAGCTGTTCCATCTCATCCAGAACAGACGTGCAAGAGCAGTAACAACAGCTGATAAATATGGACAGTTTATGCCTTCTCAGCTTCGTTGACTAGCCCGTTAGACGGGGCATTTAGAACAGTTTCACAGCAGGCCTGCTGTAACACTACCGTTTGCTGCTTCACCTGTGCCGACGTGGGAAGCTGATGTCACAGCAATTTGTATGAGATTCGACATTTGTTTTCCGTGTTGGAACGAAATAAGGCTCCTGGACACACCGACCTTCCTCCATCTTTGCTGAAAGATGAAGGTAACTCCTTATTGACTGGCCTTGCTGCTCTATTCAGCAGGATTTTGGACAGTGAAGTGGTACCTTCTGACTGGCGACTGTCAACCGTCGTGCCCATCTTGGAGAAAAATCAGCGTATTTTGTGCAAAAATCCTCGAGGCATTAACCTTCTTTCCTTTGCCTCCGACTTTCTCCTTGGCATCTTCCTTGGACGACTTACTGGTCCTCCTAAGAGCCGAATCATTAGGAGCCATGCTAGCTTTCGCCCTGGTCATGGTAGCATGGCCACACATTTACTCTTCATCAACTGTTAAGGCAGAAGCACACCTGCAGACGATTGACTATCATGGTTTCAAGTCAGGTACAGTCAAAGAAGGCGTTATGTACCAGGATAGGTGCATTTTCAGCATGTTACACTATCACTGTGGATGGTGAAGTATATGAAAGCTCTATTAAAGAAAAGAAATAAATAGTTATATTGGGAGGAGCACCTCCTAACGAACGGATCGGTGAACCCAAAAATGATCGAAGTCCAACGTTTTTTCCAGAGATCGAGCAGAATAATCACATTGCTTATTCAAAAGAATGTTTCCGCACATTCGTGTACTATTATTGGTAAGTAAAGAAGAGACGAGAGCAGAGAACGTTCAGGAAGATCGCCAAAAACAAATAAATATCGGTACTCTACACTGTGTGCTCATCTCGTGTCTGGCGGCCATTGCACTGTCTACGACCTTGCCTTATTGATCGGCCAATCGGGGACAGGCAGATTTCCGCGAACAGCCAATAGGAGTAGCCGTAGTGATCTTTGTGATCATAACAACTCGAGCAAATAAGTTCGCATCATACTGATGTTTTTGGTTGTGTCAACAGTCAAGCGGGACGGGTACGGTAAAACAGAATTACGGTAAGATGCAGTACGAGAAAATGGAACCTTAAATTTGGAGCGGGTAGAGCAAATAGTGTTTTTGATTGGTCACAATTTAGTGTATGATGACGGTCGTTTAGAATTTTGGAGGAAAGACTGGTACAAGCGTTCAGCTTCTTGCTAACAATAAAATCCTCAAGGAACTCCCGAGCCAATCAACAGCATCTGGTAATGAGCTTAATGGACCGTTCAATCCATATGTAGCCTTTTTGAGTAGCCAGGGAACTTTACAGGTAAGCAGTAGATCCAGTGCGGCAGAATGCATGAAGTCCTAAATCTAAGCATCAAATCACGGGGTACTGAAACTACCTTAGTTTGAAGGGCGCAAAATGCATTCCGTCTTACCTTACAAAACGTTTCGGTAGTGAATAGTTTCGGGATAAAAAAAACCCCTATATACATAATGACCATCTGGACAGGAACCTGTCACTCATTGCCAATGGAGAAGTGGCGTTCGAAACAACTTTCAGCTCGGAGGAATGGGACTATTACATCTCGACATTTGGAAGTGTTCAACAGCAGGCATCGGTATGATGACCAAAGCACAGTCTCATCCAGACCATTTTGAAGAGTAGAAGATGCCACAACGCTAGTGTAGTGCATCCCAAAACGTGATCGTCAACATATGTGCATCCAATAAATGTAGATATTATGGGTATCTTTGCAATGTATAAAGAAAATGAAGTCTAGAGAGAATCGCAGGAGGCTTCGCTCCATTAATCTGGGTAACTTGGCTGCGATTTGTGTCATAGTTCTTAACCACGCCGCAAACACACCTTGGAA